ATTGCCTGTGTATAAATAATAATTACATGTTGTATATTTCAAACAACCACATAATTTTGCCATAGATATGTCAGTTTACCACACACATCGTGTAGCAACACATATAGACAGACAATAGAACAATACTCCTAGACATGTAGTCTTCATGCTTTGTATAGAGCAACTAATATTACTGTGGGTTAGAACTTGTGACCATTTCCATGTACTGCATACTGTATTCCAATGTTTATATTTTACTGCCTCCAGGTGACCAAGGTGTGCACACCAGAAGAAGCACCACAATGTCCACTGAACTGAAGCAAAAATGTGGCAAAAACGTTTTGATTATTTGTAATTATGTCATTACTGTTTGCTTCTATAAAGTAAAATAATATACAGTGCTTATTTATGATTACAAAAACACATTACAAAGTTTGGGGGAAGGCTGCAACTGATGAATTGCATTTCCACTAATCTTAATGGAGAAAGACATGAAGGATTTTAGTTATGGATGTGGTCATGGAATGGAGTAAACTCGTATGTCAAGGCACCACGATGCATTTTTTTTTTTTTTTAAAATAATAATAAAATTAAGCTGCAAAAAGTTAGCTTTTTTGAGCCAATAATTGAAGTGGTAATAATTTTTGTTTTATTCTCATGAAATACACCTAAAATTTTCATTGTCAGCACAGTGTACTGTGGAATTGATCAAATGTCAGATAGTGTTATAATCAACTGTGTGGAAAAATCTGATGAATATGATATTGTGCATTTCGAAATCTTTGCCCTGTGGTTCTTTTAAAGCCTGTGGCCAATTAATTTAAAGTACAGTATGTTATATTTTATTACATACCGTATATTGTAGGTTAAAATTTGAGAACATGTTTTTTATTCATTTTGAATGTATGCAGAGTATGGTATCTTTAGATGTTATTGATTTGAGCTCCCCACTCCCGGTCAACCTCCATTACTATTCATTGCATTGTTTCCACCGCGTAGCGAAATAAGTAATTGACTTGCACAAAAGCAACCTCTCCAAGTACAGCTGCACACGCTGTATAAATCTGTCCTCAGGTGTATTGTGCAGCTCATAAATAACCCTACATGTAAAAATCATAAATAATGACATCATTTGAATGCATGAATAACAATGAATGCAAATTAATAAATAAATGAATACAACAAATATTTTTCCCCTTTTCCAGTGCAAGGTTTTGCCAAGCAAGCCTATGTCCTATTTTATATGCAGCACACAAAAACAGCTGTAAAATAAACACGTTTTGCTTGATATGGTTTGATGCAACCTGATGTTTAGCTGTTGCGGAAATAATGAAGTGTGGGCAAGCAGAAGGAGACTGTCCATTCTTCCCTCCAGTAGAAGCTCTATGTTGGAACGCATTTTATACCGAGACCAATATTCTAAAAACAATCTCCCCAATGGAAATACAGAGATCCCTCGCCACTTCGCGCTTCCAAGTTTTGCGGCTTCAGTGTTTCGTGTTTTTTTTTTTTTTTGTCAATATTAAATTAAAAAATAACTAAATAAATACAGCCGTATCGGCACCCATATTGCGGAAAAACGCGTCATTTCATGTTGATGTGGCGAGAGAGAAGGGTTCCCTGCATACCGAAGAAAGACCTGCAGTGACTCGCAGGCTTTTTACATGCCCAGCCAAACAAGGCGCGTGATTGGTTCCCGGCCCGACATTGACCAATGAGAATACGAGTGCATTTTTATCCCGTGAGATGATTGACTGCGCTTTCTCGCCAGTCTGTTGATTGTCTCCCATACTGTATCTTCGTGTTGTATTCACGATATCACGATATATAGACAGAGAGAGTTGGGGAGAGAGAGAGAGAGAGAGAGAGAGAGAGAGAGAGAGAGAGAGACATACCTGTGTATGCACATTATACTTTGTACAATGCACCTTCATTTTCATGTTGTTTTCCATCTAAATTGGTATGTCAGAAGTGTAACAGTCGTTATTTTCATTTCAATCAAAGCATATTATTCATATTATTCTCAGTGGTACGGAAAAATAATCCGTCAGAAGTGGTGAACATGGGAGGCAACGTCATCCATGGCCCATTTTGAGCTCAACAACAAAAGAGAAGCGTCCTAACATGAACAATGTAAACAAACTTTTGTCAGAATTTGTGACCCCGCTCATGTATGAGATTGCATAATTGAACTCCTACAGAAAACCTTACCTGACAAAACAGAGTATAGGTGGACTACTATTCTGGTCAGGTTAAGTTTACGCTTATGGCTCTCAACACAGAAGGGCAAGTAGAGTGAGCCCGATGTGTTATACTTCGAAATCCCAAACGCCAACTCTCCCAAACCTCATCACATGGGACAGCAAACCAGGAAAATGCCAGATTGGACAGTGAGTATGAAAGACACTTTTACTTACATATTTCTCTCAAGCATTTGAATCAAATGCCAATTTTTTATTGTCTTGTTCGGGATTCTGCAACTTTTTCTGTCTCCATAAGCAATCCTGTCATCAGCGGCCTCTCTCTTTTCCCACCTCGATTCTGTCTCTCCATCTATTGATCTTGGTCAGGGTTTTCTTCACTCTCCGTATCCAGGGAGATGTATTGACATTGAAAGCTGCGGTCTGTCATATCAATAATTCACACGGTGACGACAAACGGAACATCACAATAATGCATACATACACATATCTTCAGTGTGACTACCGTGTTGTCAAATCAATTTTCCAATGAATTACTTTTGGACGAATAAACAGAGGTTGTCTGCATCGGTCTGACAATTAAACTGTAAAAGAAAAGAGATGTATTCGTTTGATTTTGTTGATGCTGAAACCATTCTGGATTTCACTATCAGCATGTTTTTTTTTTATTTGAGAAAAAAATAAGTGGGCCACATTTGAAAACTGACAGATGGGCCTGGTGTTTCATAGAAGAGATTCGAAAATATTAAAATTTGCATGGAAAATCTGACTTTTTTTTATATTTCCACAATGAATTATAATCAAGCATTAATATTTGTATGCCTCCCATAAATAGTGAAAGACAAAAAGTGGAAAAAACGAGTACGGTATTAACTATCATTATCTTAATCTGTAACTTTAGTTCACACACGGACGTTCAATAGTTAACTACTGAGCTCCATCGAGCGCGAGGTCCCAAAACAACAGAAGCAGATACACTCTCGTAAATCTTGCAGATTCAGTTATAGGGTCTTATCACATGTTTTATTGACTAGTTCCCTGCCCAGTGTTTAATATGGTCTTACTAGAAAGTAATCAAGTAGCATTAAAATACGTAAATTGTCATTTAGGCATCGTTGCCTTGATTGAACTTTAATTGAAAAGTGAGGCATGTCTCCATCTGGTGGCAAAGCGTTTGTAAAGCTGCTGCATGCTTGCCTCCTGCCGTTTTCATCATTTGAGTCAACTCAATGATCATCAGTTGATGAAACAGATTCTTGTAAACACAGTACACATTGATTTCATCAGGTGAAAATGTCGTTTTTGTTTTTGTTTTTTAATTCAAAAGTTCATTAAAGTTGGATTTCGTTTTTGCCTTGTTGGCCAAGGCTGCAGTTTATGTTTGCTTCATAGGACTTAAAAAAAAGGTCATAAATAATTCTTACGATGCACATATGTTTTCAATGTCAGTGTGACCGTAAACTCTTTTGATATCATCACTTAGGCTACTCACTACGTTTTTATTTTTGTTGAGTCAACAGTTTTATCTATACTTGTTTTTTTTTATTTTGTAAACACAAATATGTAGTGGGGTGCCACAGTGTTTTCATGAAAACACTTATTAGTGGCATATCCTTCATCATTCGCAGACGCTCGCTATTAGCGGGGCGGCCTCAATTCTATCCCGCCTACTGCAGGTGTTCTACATTTGAAATTATTATTCTATATTATCATTACATTCTATATCTATAAAGGCACCATGGGACAAGAAGTCATTAAAAAGCATTCCTAGCCATGATTGTATCTCCGACACTTTCTTCTTAATCCTCTTGGAACACTAGAATTTACATTGTGATGCGTGTGTTTGGATGCTCCCTGTGGAGGCTGGTTAAAAAAGCCTACCCCGTGGTTGAGAGGATATATGCATAAATGTACTTTGGCTAGTGTCTGATATCTACCCGCCGACATGGGGCTAATAAGCCAGGGTGTTGACTAGGCGGGTGGCACCATGTCCTCAAACAGACCAGAGTCGGATGAAATGGTAGAGAAAGCAGAGAGTGTGCCAACAATGTAGCTGTGCTTGTCTTTTGGCTTTAATGTGACAGTGCTTCCATGTACAAAGTGAAATGACTGATCTTCACCTGGGCCTAGCTTCCCAGTCACCGGCGGAGGAACTGGGTGTAGAGGAGGTTATTATGTAACTGTGGATCAGAAATTCTGAACGCTTGGTCAAGCACACATTTGCAGAAATATTTAGCTTACAAAAGATGTACTTGGTTGTTTGATTTCACACTTGATGGGTGGGCATTTTGCCACTTGCTGATGATTGAAAATGACATCATAGTCGGTTAGGGTTCAGGTAATGACCACTCAACTATAAAAAAAGTTTCTTTATTTTACAATCTTTCAACAACATACATAGGTTGCACAAATCACTTCAAAATATTTGATTTTGCATCAGTGTATGACAGCATACCTCACCGATTTTGAGCGTTGTTATTGTGCGTGATTTGCGACATTAAAAGAAGGTGCACTGCATGTAACAATACAAACGAGTGTATCACAAGTCACCATGCATTATCACTTGAACAGTTAGTAAAGCTTCTATGATGGCTGCAATTTTCTATTCCCTTTATTTGCTATCCACTACCAACACAAAATTTGACCACGAAGGGACTCGAACCCTCAATCTTCTGATCCGAAGTCAGACGCCTTATCCATTAGGCCACGCGGCCACTCATTGGCCACGTGCCGCTTTTTAAGTACAAATTCTCACTGCTATGGCGGCGCCGTCAAGCGTTACGTAGTTTGAGTCAGTCCAGTGTTTTGACTGGGGGGGTTCCTTTCGAGTGTTGCAATTCGTTTTCAAAACAGCACAGCCAAAGCAATCGGTTCAATTTCGTGGCTAGAATACTGTATTTATTAAGAACAAAACAGCAGACCCCGAATGGAAAAAAAAGCAAGAGAACAAAAAATAACGGGGAAATATAAAAGTTTGATCAATGCTGCCTGCGTGTTGATGGAGTAGTTGCTTTTCCTGCACCACTTGAAGGCAACGTGTAGCAGTTCATACTATCATGGCGCCGGACGAGTCCGAGCACGTCTGCGACATCAAAGTTTAATTGCCGAACCATTTGTAAAGGCTTTTATTCACGGGACCCTGAATATTTATGAGGCCAAGGCGAGGACAAACACGGGTAAGCTGGCCTTTAAGGTTGTTGTTGACACTAGCCTTCGTACGGCGAAGACTAAGCACGACAGCAACCTTTTTTTTGTTCGGGGGTGGGGGGTCGAATAGAATTATGACGTCTTCACATTCGCACTCCCGCGACACTCACCGTGGTTCAACAGCGTTCAACTTTTAACAGTTACTGCAAATAAACAGTGTTTTTCCCATGTCACGTCACAAACTCCTAAACGTCATAAAACGCCTGTCAGACAAAGGAACGCAATGAGTTGAATGTTCGCCAACACCCGATTTTGTGATCAATCCCGTTCATCGGTTTTAGTAGAAGTATGCTAAACGATGTAGAGTTCGCTGTCTCTTTAGTTTCCAATTTTAGCTCCACGTAGTGTTTGATCGTCAGACTCTGCTTTAGTAAGGTTTTAGTTCTGTTGAAATGTCCGTGCATTATGGGGAGGAAAAGTTTTGGTATACATGTGTTTCATCAGTAATTTGAGCTCCAAGCCACCGTGTGCTCATTGTTATGGACATGTATGGTTGCACGGCTCGTAGGAGAAAGGAAGGCTGCAAGGTGACTGGCTGATTTACTGAAAGTCTTCACTGCACAAGGAGGAATGACAAGAATGTAAGAAGCGCAGCTTCTTGGTATGTAACAGAATGCAGGCAAGAGCATGCCTGAAACAAACATAAAAAAAAGGTAAAATATTTTGGAATCTGCCGCTTTCTTGATCAAAATAAAAATCTATAAATATCGGAAGAATCATTTTTAAACTCCTTACAAAAACTCATATTGTAGGAACTGGCAAGGGTCGCAAGATGAAAAGAAAGGTGAAATATTACGTTTTCTGCTCCGGTGGTCATGCAGGCCATTGTTCCGTCTCAATCACTGTTTTTACTTTTGGCAAAAAACGCGGTTTGCCCCGATTTAATTGCTATTTACTAATAATGGCATTCATTGGAAAGGAGAAGGCATTTTGTAATTTAAGAGTTTGATGAGAATGGATAATGGAGTTCTTAGCAACCATTGATCCCTATTTGCTTGTTAACGTTTGGCAAAAAATTGAATACCTTTTTAATGTATGGCCATGGAGGCCATTTCAGGACGAAATTTGTGTGCTTCATGACGCTCCCCACCCCACCTCCGTCGACCGATGGGTTCCGGAATGGATAATCCGAAGACTCGGATAAGCTAGGCCTTGACAACCATCAATCCCAATTTCTTCATTCGCGTTTGGGAAGAAATGGAATGCTGTTTCAAAATTTGCCCACGTCATGGCGGGTCCCGCATCTCCCACATTACCCCTTTCAAGGAATGGGTTTGGTACATTCTATGAATATGCAAGCCCGTGGTTGCTGAACTGCGAGTATATGAGGAAAGATAAACAATCGGGAGGAATCGTGAAATAATGATACCGCAGGAAGTCACCATAAATGGAGAATAAAAAGTTAGCCCAATGTAAAGGTAGAACTTCTGGTTAGGAACAAAAGCTCAGGTAAGCCCAAGGTAAAGAAGATCTGTGTGGGTGATTGTTACTTTTGTTGTTGAAATCTTGGACAACCACGTCCTAGTCTCAGGAAAGGTCTGCGTGTGTTGTGCTAAGGTCAACATTTTCCAGTTTATTGACGCTTGAACTTGGTTTAAAAAATGATTGTAGTCAGGCTCCCAAAACGCCAGTTCTTTGTGGACAAAATGTAGAAATATTCATTTTTATTAACAACTCATTCAGTACCAGCCAATTCTAGACCAAGTCTGAAAAGACGTTTAAAAACGTCTTTGGGAGTGAATGAGTTTTAACTGGTACTGGTGTGGGTTTATCCCTACTTTTCGACTCGCTCTATCCTTTTGCACACAAAAAAGTCTGTGATTATTTAAAAATCTCCACCATGCAGAACAGAACCCATTGCAGTGGTGTGCCCAGAACGAAGACAGATTTCTCATTTTGGCCGAGTTGTACAAACATTACCACACTGCCTTCGTAGCAAGCACGGCAAGCAGAGTACTTTTTTCTTCTCTGTCTGGAAATATCATTACGTGATAGGAGGACAATCTGCAACCAGCCCACATGCCTTTTGCATTCTCACAAAATCAAATTTGAGTCATTGGACCGTTAATGGAACCGTTAGGCTTGGAGCTTATCGATATTGAATAATGTAGCCCACAGGCTTGGTAACCCACTCCTACTTCAACCCATCAAACTTTGTTTCTAAAAGCCATTTCCTGATTCATGATGCCACAAAGCCATATGTTAGTGCTGTTTGTTTTAAAAACAGCGCGTAACACATCAAGCACCACAAGTTACTTTAGTTTTTTTCTTCATAAGGCAGGTATGAGCATACCTTGTGAGGACTGGCACTATAAAAAAAAATGGATGGATGGATAGTGTTTGTAATACAGTACTCCACTTTAACTGAGTGACCTTGTGCTGGTCTGCTTCAGTAAGTAAAGAGCCGAACATGCGTGTGGCTTTTTATGGCCTGGGCAGGCTCAGCTCTAGAGGCTCAGGCATTACATTGTTGCACTCAGACGGTGAGCGGGCGACTGCAGCTGTTGCATGAGTGGCCATCCGCCAGTGCAGCATGGAGTTTCGTGCCACCCCCCATCCGACATCCTTTTTTTTGTTTAAGTCACCTTGTCGATGATCATCAGACTTGCGGGTTATGTCCTCCCTCATACTCATCGTGCGCAGTAAATCAATCATCAACTCTCCCAAATTTCTCGGTTATAAAACTGCCTTGACCTTGAAAGCACCTTTTCAACGGCAAGACACTTAAATGCAAAATGATCTAGGATAAAACCGGTCGATACGCAGTACGGCGTAGCGCTCCATTAAGTCGAATATTCAACAGCCCCAAACAACACTTTGTCTGCATCTGTCTGAATGAATATAGTATACACCGACTTGACCCTACATTTATAAACGTTACTTCTGCGACGCCATTTGACTGACTGACAACCTCTTATAAACAAGCAAAATTATAAAACAAGTGCACGTATCTAAAGCCAATTGCAGGCATAAATTCAAGAACAAAATACAGCAAGCACTTTTAACTCTTTCATTCCACAAGACGTACGTCTTTTTAAAATTAGGCCCCGCCTACCAAGGACGTACTTGTACGTCTAAGTCTTTTTTTTGCGTCAGAGATGAGGAGGGTCTGATGCAATCTGTGAATGAGAATAAGCCGTTTGCATTGCAAATCATGTAAAAAAGCGACCAGTAGGTGGCAGTGGTGCCTCATGTGCGTCAAATGCATGCTTTTACAAAAAGCTCTTTTTTCTCCGTTTCTTTTCCCAGGAATCGCCATTTCCAGGAAACTTAGCCATTTTGCAATGCCGATTGCTAAAGAATGGAAAAAGATAGAAACAAAATTGTTTTTCCTGCTGAAAGAAAAGAGTCCAAACATTATTTTGGTAGGCTCCATGTTTATATAGCATTAGAACCAAATATTCTGTGGGCCTTGCAAGATCAGTCAAAATCCAGTAAAACGCTGGGATTGAGGGCGTTGCTCCAGTGAAAATGGCTGGGATTGAATGAGTTAACTCCTCCAAAGTGTTTAGTTAAAACACTGCAACACCTTCACCGATCGTGCCTTACAACACGACTACAAGGATTGCCTCAAATTCTTGGATGGCCTAAAAACTTTGAGATGGTCAAGACTGTTCACGTTGCGATGATAGAAAATAAATAATAAAGCAAATACGCATATCTCAATATGTCCCCAAAGCATTGGAACAAATTTCAACTTGTATCACCTCAGAGATGTTAAGTCACTCTACCTTACTATCTAAAAGTGAAATCAAATCCTGGATGCGGATGACTGTGACGTCCATCAAATTTGGTGTCTCGTGTCAGGATTTCTATTCTCAGCTGTCTTCATTTTCAGACTGCTGGTGTCATTGCTTGAAAATGCACTGTAAAACCCTGTCGTGAGCTATTCTCAGGAAGAGGAGAGTAACAAGCATCACGTGTCTGCTTCAGCATGGCGTATGAGTGTACAAGCCCAGACGGGGCACATATGATAATTTCAGCAACATGTCCCAACGTTATTACGATGGTTGGACGTCATTCATACTTGGAAGGATATGAATCGCTGTATGAACTTCTGGTAAACCTACCGTGGTTGCCACGTGTCTCTCTACTTTGGCCCATTTGTATAAGGAACCAATTAAATACAAGGAAGTGGGACTAGGCAATTCTTATTTTCTCCAAGAAACCATGTCCCGCACACAGATCAATTCTTAGGTTTTCATAGACTTGTATGTTTTTGCAGTGTAGGTTGGGTTGTACAGAGGTGGGAGTTTGCCCTAGTGACGAGCTCCATGTGCTGGCTGTATTGTTGAAGCCCAGAGTGGAATGTGTGCTAAGTCCCTTGGCCAGAGACCAGTGGCTTTATTGTGACCTTAAAGCAAACCTTTGTAAATGGATCCCTCCTTATTTTAAGAGGAAATGATCTCCAAATGTTAACGATGACTTTGAAAATGTGATTAATGATGCTTCAGCAAGGTGTTAACAAAAATAAAAAAAAAAAGATTGATGATCCTTCATTCGAATAGCAGAAGTCTGATACAGACTGTCTAGAATAGCAGAAGTCTGATACAGACTGTCTAAAAGTCGAGCAATTATTTGAAAGCCGGAAACCTGCACTACCTACTTTTTAAAATTTTAATAAATAGTGACCCCCAAAAAGTCAAACCTACTACCAGACCGAATTCAATTTAACTCAGCAGTATGAACTATGCAATAACGAATGTGTAGTCATAAGCATTTGACTGAAATTGAATCTGAATATTGCCTGCGAGATGGTGGATAGCTCCTGAACTATTTAAGCTGCAGACCAACCAAAGACACCCAAATCAAAACAAAGATTGGAACATAAAAACACTAAAATAGTAAGTAACATCTATGTAACAAGGATGGTCCTTGTGTACTCAATGTCATTGCAGCTGTCAGGGTGACTCCATTATTAATAATACGACCACAAGCTGCATTCGAGTCTTGATATAACCGGAAGTTGGTGTGAAGTAGGGCTAATTTTCAGTCCTTGGTGTGCCCCATCACAACAGGCTAGGTGTTCTCCGAAAGGACCCACCCACCCTCCAACCCCCTTTCAGTGGAAATGGACACTGCTGGTGTATTTATAGCCTCAGCACACAAGTGAGCTGCCTGTCTTTCATAAGAAGGAACTAGTCATATCAGTCCAAGCTGGCGAATGTTCTAGACTGTTGTGTTCTCATTCCGAATCCTGCTCCGAAGGGCTCTCAGGAGTATAAAAATGAACTTTTGAGATCATTTTGGATTAGTTGTAGACTGTATTGACAGGTGAGTGACTTGAAATGACCAGAGTGTCATGTTTACTACAATTTGGGTTATTGTGTGTCCAGCAATCAAATTAATGTGTCCGTGTGCTTTGCTTTTAGATGTAAACGTCTTCCAGAGCGCAACCACTTGAGACGAGATGGAGAACCCCATCTTACAGACGCAACCGTCCACCCTGCCGTTTTTTGACACGGCCCACGCCTTCAACCTGCTTCGAGGAATCCATGAGCTCCGTGCGGAGCGAAAGTTTTTTGATGTGACTTTATGCGCAGAGGGCCGCGAGTTCCACTGCCACCGCACAGTGTTGGCCGCCGCCAGCACTTACTTCCGGGCTATGTTCGCCGGTACGCTACGGGAGAGCATCATGGACCGGGTGGTTCTACATGAGGTTTCGGCCGAGCTTCTGGGACTGCTGGTGGACTTTTGCTACACAGGACGGGTCACTGTCACGCAGGACAATGTGGATCTTCTGCTGAAAACAGCAGATCTGTTTCAGTTCCCGTCTGTCAAAGAGGCCTGCTGCGCTTTCCTGGAACAGCGTCTGGATGTTTCCAACTGCTTGGAAATCCAGGACTTTGCAGAGGCCTATGCTTGCCGAGAGCTGGCGGCCAGCGCACGCCGCTTTGTCCTCAAAAACTTAATGGATCTTGCGAAAGGGACAGACTTTGAACGCTTACCTTGGAAGCGTCTCCTTGAGTTTGTGTCTGATGATGAGCTGTGCGTAGACAAAGAGGAGACTGTGTATCAGATCGCAGTGCGCTGGGTAAAGGCCGACCTTCAGCGGAGACTTCACTATTGGCCCGAGCTCCTCCAGCAGGTACGACTCCCTTTTGTCAGGAGATTCTTCCTTTTGGCCCATGTCGAGAGCGACCCCCTGGTATACCTTTCGCCCACCTGCCTCCGTATGGTGAACGAGGCCCGTAGCTTCCAGTCCAGCGAGTATGACCGCCACGACAGACCTTGCCGCCGCATGCGTCCACGACCGTCCACCGGACTGGCTGAGATCCTGGTGGTTGTGGGAGGTTGCGACCAGGACTGTGATGAGCTAGTCACAGTGGACTGCTTCAACCCTCAGACGGGCCAATGGCGATACCTGGCGGAGTTCCCAGACCACCTCGGTGGGGGCTACAGCATAGCTGCCCTCGGGAATGATATGTATGTCACAGGTAAGTGTTGGTTCACCGTGTTTGTGGTGACAAAGTATTTGAAACATTTTTGGCCTATATGTGATTTGTTTGACAGAAAACAAAAGGTAGTGCTGGGAAATGAAGCTTCAAATTTGCTTCATGAACCAGTTTTTTTTTTTTTGTTTTTTTTTTCTCTCCTATAGATGGCACTGTTTAAATGAAGGAGTTTACAAAATGGCACAGCAGTGTACTTTGAACCAAATGTTGAACAAAGAGTGCCATCTAGAGGAGTCCAAAATAGCTTTCGGTGAAAGGTAAATGAAGCTAGATGTTACAGTTTAAACAAAAGACAGTTATGTACACTGAGCATAGTAGAGACTCTAAAATCAAACACATTGGGATCTGGAATGCTGGTCAACCTCTGATTTGTTCCAATTTTTAACAACTATTCCAATAGGCAATCGCTTTCCATCATGAAACCTTTTTAAGAACAAGCGCACTGCGCCTAATACATCATAACAGAATGACGAATGCATTGAGTCTGATTGTGTATGGCATAGAGATGTCAATTCACACTAAGACTAGACAAAACTAACTTTTTAACTCATTCTTGACTTCTCATTGCTCGAACCATATTGTACCGAACTGACACGAGTTTGGTACATATCAGTAAATACAAAAAAAAAAAAAAGTAGACTGAGCTGAAGGTACACTTCAGAAGCATGTTATACTTGCAAATTGTGGTCGTTTTCCAAATTGTACAGAATCCGTAAATGTGAGGTCTTTGATCTCATTGGTCTTTTGAGCACTCGTTTGTCATTGGAATGGAAAATGAACCAAAAGTTACAAGCGTGAGGTTCAGAAGGCACATAAGACAAAAGTCCAGCGATGTTCACGTAAAATTCCATTGACTAAGCTGCAAAATGATTACGTCAGAGTGAAGCAGAACATGTAGTACCAGTCACTGCGTTCCCCTCTGAGAAAACATCTTGCGCAATGCTGATGCAAGACAGTCAGCAGCATCAGCTTTCTCCAGCACTCAAAATAACGGCAACACGATAGGAGTGTACAAGTCATTTCATGGCACGTTCATGGCAAATTAGAAACAGATGAGAAATTGATTTTTGACAGTTGTGCATCTTGAGGAACTTGAAACCAACATAGCAACGAGCAGAGGCCGCTTTTGAAACAGGATATCATAAAAAGCAGGACAAAGTGAATGGAAAGAGAACACCAGCATTGTATAAATCTGGAAAACAATGTGGTTCCACAGGCTGGTGAAGTTGCAACGTCCATAACTTTTCGACCTAGCGAATTTCATCTGCTGCATTCACCTTGACTCAAGTGCCGTCACTTTTTGACGTACTCAAATCAATGTTACACAGTTTGAGTTGAATGTGAGGACACCTCAGGCCTTTTTTCTCTTGTCTTTCATCATTTTTTTTGCTTATTGCTTATAATGTTTTAGGTTACTAAATGTTTAGGTCAATGTTATTCTTGAATGTATTTTGCAGTAACCAGGGTCAAACCAATACGTCGTAAAACAGTCAGCTTTATGTTGGCAATTTTTTTTTTGGGATAGTTAAACAACTACCAAAGGGAAAAACATTGAACATTGTTACCACATTCAGATCGTTATTGCTCTAGTCTTCAAAGGAAACAACAACGTATTTGAGCGGGAAAATAATACACACACACACACACACACACACACACGCACACATACTTTTAAAAAAAAAATGAATCAGGCAATTATCGGTAATCCATCGGTCATCCATCATCTGAGTCTTATTCTGCCAACTATCACATCGACATCTGCCTCAAAAAATCAAATATTAGTCCGGCTCTAGCAATAACATTAATAAGAATGCTTCTTGTATTGTCTATTAATTAACATACGTAACTAGAAATTATTTGTAAATTTATTGCAACCCTCCAATCATTAATAAAGGATCTTTTTTGAATGCCCACATAGTATAAGGCTTGATTTGGCCAACGTTGAAAGCAAGATTTCCCATTGAATTCAGTTATGCAGGATGTCCCCAGTGATTGGCGATCCGTTCGGAAGATAGAAAAAAGAGATGGACGTGGAGCTTCAGAATCACGCGTCATCCACTCTTTTGTCCTCCGGCAGGTGGCTCTGACGGCTCCCGCCTCTATGACGGCGTGTGGCGCTATAAGTCCAGCGTCAACGAATGGACGGAGGTGTCGCCCATGCTGAAAGCGCGCGAGTATCACAGCTCGTGCGTGCTTAAAGGTCAGCTGTACGTGGTGGCGTCAGACAGCACCGAGCGCTACGACCACACGCTGGACTGCTGGGAGGCCTTGCCACCCATGCTGCACTCTATGGACAACTGCTCCACCACCACATGCAACGGACGCCTGTACGCTATCGGCTGTCTCGCCGGGGAAGACACCATGGCCGTCCAGAGCTACGAGCCAGACAGCAAACGGTGGTCCATGGTCAACTGTGGACAGCTGCCGCCGTGGTCTTTCACCCCTAAAACGGTGACCCTCAACGGCCTCATCTTCTTTGTGAGGTGCGGAAAAAAACTCTTTAGACTACTGGTGTCAAAGTTAGCGCATTAACGAGTTACTGCAAAGATATTTTTACCCAATTTTTTTTTAAACGGCGTTTCACACATCCCTTATTTGGAAGACTCCACTGGGGAAAATTGTAATCACTATGCAGCAGAAGCGTCCACGTCACCCTCTAGAAATGAACGGCACTGCACTGCAGCCAATATATACAATATTGAAAGGAGAAAGCAACAATGGAGGAGCTATTTGGACTTTGAGTGGGGTACGCATTTGGTAGGCTGCTGGTTAACGGTTAGCACCGTGCCAGCTGTTTTTCCTCAAATTGGTAGAGCCGGTGCCAGCCATTTTTTAACATTTGGACAAATTTTTGAAGGCCTACAGAAAATTTTGTTTTCTAGCTTTATAAGCATGAAAGTTATCAAAAGAAAGCTTTATGCCTCTTCTTTCATCAGGAAAAAAAACTACTAACTTTTACCATTCTAAACAGCAATTGAACATTGGTAAGTTTCTTGAAAATACTCATTTCCAAGAAAAGGATGCATTTCAAGAAGAACGTTCACTTTGATGCAATTTTTTTTCTTTGCATTTGTGATACCTCAAATATCTAAACAATGCTTTCCTACTAAACAACATAAACAACACAAAAAGGTCACTTTGATTGCAAAATAACAGTTTATTGCAAGATAAACACTGCACTGATGCGTTACCTACTCATTAAGTTTCCATGAACGTTGAACTGTAACAGTGTTCATCAAGGATCACGATGGGATTTCGTTCTTTTTTTTTTTCTGTTGTAGAATTAGCTGCCGTATTTATCCATGTTTTCAACACCACACTGCTTTCACATATCACCTTGTGAAGTAGGATAGCCATATCACACCCCACAGCCATTCACACTGTGTGCAAGACCAATGTCAAGTGTTCAACGCTAATGGCAAACAGATACCTCAACACAAATCTGAATCTATGTAGTAATAATAGTTGTAATGTCTCTATCTTTTCAACTTCAAATAAGTATGAATTCTTAAAGAATTACGATATAAATGAACAAAAAGATATCGCAATATTTGTATGAGGCAAACATACTTGTGCATCTTTATGTTAATTGACAAGAGTAACAAAAACGTATGTTCGTTTCTTGTAGGGATGACTCGGCAGAGGTCGACGTTTACAACCCTCCGAAGAACGAGTGGGATAAGATTTGTCCGATGAACCAGGTTTGTATAATTCTTAATAGGTTGTTGGTGTTTCTCTTTGGTCGTTTGTCCACTGCATCCACCACGTTAGGATCCGCACACCAACTGATAAATGTACTTTGGCAACTTTTCACTTAACAGTGGCTGTTCATTTTTCTCTGCTCAGGTCCATGTCGGAGGCAGCGTGGCGGCACTGGGCGGCAGGCTTTTTGTATCGGGCGGTTACGACAACACGTTTGAGCTGTCGGACGTAGTGGAAGCGTACGACCCGGCCACTCGCACCTGGAGTGTCGCGGGCCGGCTGCCCCAACCCACCTTCTGGCACGGCAGCGTCAGCATATTCCGACAGTTCATGCCTCTGGTGTCGAACGCCTTTGAGCCGGCCAGCGCGCCGGACGCCAACGCCATCCAACTGCACCGGCATCAGCGTCACCAAGCCATACACAACCTGAATAACAATGTCAACCAGGACGTGAATGCGGCCCACTGACTTTCCAATGACCCATCCCCACGCTGTCCGCTTACCTTTGACTTTACCTCATCACAATGCTGAAACATGAACGTCAACTGATGTTTGGTGACTGAAGGATTTGAAAGGGGATCTGAGCCTCAGGCCTGAAATTGTTACCATCTATGTACAAGCATGAGAAAAACATCACCTGCATGCTGTTCTAGTTATTTGTGAAGAGACCGCCTAGAGCTAGGGCTAAACAATTCATGTGATTATGTCATGAAATGATTCAAGAAATCTAAATTGCATGGTCACTCGAACAGATTGTGAACGCTGTTGGTTGGTGTTCTCACTAAGATTGCGGTGCAATTGGTGCAAAAGTGGTGACGATTGGCCGACTAAATGAGGGTTTTACGCTTTTGGTAGTTCGAGAGCACTGCAACACAAATTGAAGTTTGAAGTGATGTAATTGGAAGTGTTTCTGGAAGAGGTAAAACAAACATTACCGAATTACAGAAAAGTAACTTTATCTATCACTCGTATAATTCTGGGGAAGCCAACAAGCACATTAAAACCAGGTTTGTTTGATTTTTGTTGTATCAAATGTGGGGGATGTGACTGCACATCGCATTTAAAACAGAACACACAACACGCAAAAAAACTTTGCCTCACGTTCTGGGTTCAAATCTCAGCTGCTCACTGGGTTTAGTCTGTGAGCTCTGCTTTCTCCCCCGACACATTCCAAAACATGTTAGGTTGCCAAAAGACTCTTAAGTAGCCTATTGGTGTAACAAAAAAAAAATACTTTTGGTCACATCACCTTTTTGTTTTACATGCATGTACATGAAATTTATCCTTGGCATTTAAATCTTCATGGAGCAGCGGCACCCAAAGAATAGTTTTTTTTTTTAATGAATTACACTGGGCAAGATACAATTTTAAGTGTATTGCTTTTTGTCCCTCTACATTTTTGGTGCTGATTTCTAGCTCATCAGGTTTTTAAGATTTTCATTTTGGGGGGGTTTGACCTGCTGCTGTCCATGGATGAACCTGCCAATCTACTGTTTTGAAAAAGGCTGACGTTGTAATTGTGCGTCACTCAAATCTATGTAAACACATTTGTTATGCCATTATTAATTATGCACATTTAGTCCTCGAGTTCAGGGCCATGTAACAATAACGGGATTTTGCACAGTATGCAAGATGGTCATCAAAATTACATCATATTTAATTGGAGGTAAATTATGTGCTTGTCAGCTATAGTATATTTTTAAGGTGTGCTACAAGGTTTACGTTCCCAAACTGATAATCGGTTGATATGAACCATACATGTTACGGTCAGCACAGTGGTTGAATGTGGCTGGAACCGTTGCAAGTGATTCACAACATATAATGTGCATAGAACAATGTGGGGGGCCTTTCAAAATGTATCCATGGAAAATGTACTCTGTTAATGTATGCATTGGAGATGGGCATGACAATCACATTCTCACTGTGTGGTATTGATTGATTGCGTCGAAGCAAATGAGGCAAAATTGAGTGCAGTACTTGGTCACAACCAGCAGAGGAGCTGTTGATTCGGTCTCCATGAGTTAACCTCATGTCAGCGATTGGACTCTAGCTGCACCTTTGTTGGCGGTCTCAACTGGAAGTGCAACAGGATCTCAACTAGCCCTAACATGGAACTTTTCCTGACATTTCCCTGCCCATTTGCCTGAGTTGACTTTATTGTAAATGTATCACTCCTTATGATGTTTACGGTGTGCTTAGCTGGAAGTGAAAGCAGATTTAAGACTCTCATGTTGGTTAGCCTTTTGCTCATCATTTGTGTTCAACCCTTTTTTTAACATAGAAAACAAATGCATGAAGTTTTATATTTAAATATATTTAAGTGCAGTGTGATGCATTCACCTTGAATGTTTCAACCAATCGTGTGTCTATAGTTTTTTTTTTCTTTCCCCTGGGTAAAGATGTTTTCAGATCAATGTCTTCAAAACCGACATCCAAGTGACCATTGATTTATGTTTTCAGGAACTTGCGACAAGAGTGGCTTTTACAACTATTGTGATGGCAGATGGGGAGAACTACAATCGTGAGTCCGTGTGATCATACAAACCCAAGTCCAAAGAAGTTGGAACGTTGTGTTAAACAAAAAAAAACAGACCAGTGATTTACAAATCAAACGATGTTTATGAAAGTAGCCTGTGATGAATTTGCAGACAGGAAACAAAATTACTGAACTGACATTGTCCCAACGGACACATCTGGAATCCGGAGCTGGTTAACCTGGAAGGCAATTGAACCGTAACTCTACGCCTTAATTCTTATTTTGGTAGCCTGTAGAATACACGCCCCTTTTCTCTCTTGCTGTGGCACCCTGGTGGACAGTAGCTGTCTACCATTGAAGAGAAAGCTCTCGTTCAGTCTGACCGCGCCATTAGAGAGAGATTTAGCAGACATATGAGTAGGAGAGACAAGCATGGTCAAAATAACGATGAGGGAAATCTAAAACCGGTGGACTAAATAGCGGTAACAGAGTATAATTTAGCCATGACTGAAGCATAGTTAAAATAACTGACGGAGTGACAACTGACAATTACGGTTTTGGTTTAGCTTGAAATCATGACGGACGGTTGGGCCAGCAAAAATGTATTGGCATGTGCAATTTCTACCGTAGCAGGTTTCTACTCATCCTACCAATGTGACCATAAAAGCTGTTAGACATCCAGTATTTATAATAACGTTGATCATGATGCAGCTGTAGTCCGCACTTTGATGAGGAGGCACCTCCAAGATGTCAGTGGCACATATTCAAGCATCTCATGTCCAAAATTGTGTTTGCAGCACAAAAAAAAAGCGCTCTATTTGAGCGCCACTGTGACTTCAGAAGTGGACTCCGTGCCAGCGGGCGCGGAGTCAATCGCCTGCATAACAACTGGCGAGGCCTCTGCTGGTTTGGTGGTATCAAAATCACCCGGACCACCATCATACTCATCCACGACCACGTTCCTCAGTTTCCTCTGTCGCGGGTTGTAATTCTCAGTCCTCTTGTGGATCTGAACGTGTCGACGCAGGTGTGCCTGGGACCGAAAACATACGTGTGAGTTTCAAAAAAAACTTCGTTTTTAACTGAAACTGGTACAGTTATGTTCACAAAAATTGGGAGACAATTCTCATCTTTTTAAACACCACCACAATCGACTGAAATCAAGCAAGATGCGCTTCCACTGCACACTTTCAGCTAATCTGAGGGTATTCGCATCCAAAGGAACTAAAAGTAATGGGACAAATTAGCAATCGTGAATCAAACTTTCACTTCTTCATGCTTAATTGCCAATCCTCTGCATTCCAATACAGCCTGAAGCCTGGAATGCATAAACGTCACCAGATGCTCGATCGCTGGTGATGCTCTACCAGGCCTCAACACCAAACGTCTTGAGTTTCTGATTGTTGGGCCATTTTTCCTTCAGTTTTGTTCTCAGCAAGTGAAATGCATGCTCAATCGGATTCAAGTCAGCTGCTTGACTTGACCACTGCACAACATTCCACTTTGCCTTCTAAAACTCTTAGGTTGCTTTTACAGTATGCTTCGGGTCGTTGTCCATCTACACTGTGAGGCGCCATCCAATGAGTTCTGAAGCATTATCTGAATATGAGCAGATAAATATTGCCTGAAACACTTCAGCGGTCATCCAGCTGCTTTGGTCAGCAGTGACATGATCAATAAATACAAGGGAACCACTTCACTGGCAGCCATAGATGCCCGCCTGACCATGCAACAGCAGAGCCAAGTCTCATTACTTTTGGTTCCCTAAATGGTGGAAGTCACATATAAAACTGTTGTAATTCATACCACCGTTGACTGAATACCCTCAAAGCTCAAAATCCGCAGTCAAAGCACATTTTGTTTGTTTAATTTTCAATCGACTGTGGTGGAGTTTATTATTTATTACTGCCATACAGAGGAGAATTGTGTCCATGCCCAACTCCAAATACTTATGGTCCTGACCGCGGGGATTCAGAATATGTCGGCATCTCTTTTTTTTCTACACGTCTTGGTCAGATTGGTACGTGATGTCAAATACAAGCGATGCATCTAAGGTTTGATCAGGAAAGTGGCTTTGCTAATGAAAAGCAATACTCTGGTGCTGTAGCATACCTGTCGGGTGAACTTGTAGCCACAGTCGGCACACTCAAACTTCCTCATACCCTTATGGCGACACAGGTGGACCCGCAGTTGTTCTTTGGCTGGCGAAGAATACCAACGGATTTCATTTGTTCATCTTCTAGGGCAATCGCACGCAGGCGGCGGGCGTTCTTACCTTTAAAGGTCTTGTTACATATGTGGCAGCAGTGAGGGCGTCCCTCCTCGTGCTTGCTGGCCTTGTGGCGAAGAAGGGCGCCCTTCTCGGTGAAACGCTGCTCACACACGTCGCAGGGGAAGGGCCGCTCGCCCGTGTGCGTCCGGTGATGTTTTTCGAGGCTAGCTGCCATCAAAGTAGAACAGGTGTTGTTGCCGCAAAACCAACGATCGCAGCCGGCGTGGCGTCGGTCGGACGGCTGTTACCTTGCGTGCGGAAGGTTTTGCCGCACAGGTGACACTGGTAGGGTCTTTCGCCGCTATGCACGCGAAGGTGCATGTTGAGGTTGTTTTTCTGGGAGAAGGCGTGGCCGCAGATGCTACAGAGGAAGGGCCGCTCATTTCTGTGAGAAAGACACGAGGAGAGTTGAAAGATCACTTTATTGATAAGGTTACTCGTCTTTTTTCATAATCTAAGGTTTATTTGTCACTACGTTTGCTAAATTATAGGAATTTTCTCATTTCGAAATTTTCAATGAGAAATTATGGGAATTGATGAGAACATAGCAGGAATTGGCTCTTATTCTAGAATGTAAATATACACCTCCAATTCCAATGAAGTTGGGAAACTGAGTAAAACGTAAATAAATACAGAATACAATCCTGAACTTTGCATAACAGGTCTTTGTAGTGTATTCAACCAAATATAGTCTGAAATGAGTTTGCAAATTGTTGTACTCTGGTTTTTATTCATTTATTTTTACCTAATGTTCCAACTTCAGTGGAACTGTGATTTCTAATTGGGGAAAATATATTTGCACAATCATAAAACTAGATCTCATGCAAGTGCAATCAAATGCAATATAACTGAGTGAGGTGCTAGAGTGCACAAAAACACAACAGAACCATACTCGTCTATGCTGGGTTTTTTTTGGAGGGTGAACCACCAGCTAATACTGCGCATGTCCAATCCACCGAATAATTTGAAAAACGCGATTCCTTACCTGTGGATAGCTTTGATGTGCATCTGCAGGCCGTTGCGACTGGACGCTCGATGGCCACACTCCTCGCACACAAACGGCTTTTCCCCGCGGTGTTTTGCGGCTTCGTGCACTCGCAGCTCGTAGCGAGTCCAGAAGGTTTTGGGGCACTGTGGACACTGATAGAGAAATCTCAGTTATTGGACACAGCTAACAGTGTACCATATTTAGGCCGTATTTCATTGTCTGTGCTTTCTCTGTAGTTTAGTTGTTATGTTGGTTATTTTTTTAAGGTTTTTGCTGTTTCGACATATCAATACATGCTGTATCCACACTGCAGGTTTTTCATGCAGTGTGAAGAGTAAAATTCCGATTTTTTCCAATCCGACCTGGGCCTCTTTCACATGTGAATAAAAATCGGATATTTATGCGTTCTGCGCGGGCGGTGATGAAATGCTTGATTGAAACGTGTCGTCTCATTTCTGCAAAATATTTCTACATCCTCCTACATTGCTTCCTCTGTAGACATGAGATGGTAAAAAATATGAGCCTCTACATGCACGGCCATATTTTCTTCCGTAAACTTATTACTAATATTGCTTGTTCCACATTCCTTGCAGATTTTTACCATATGGGGCTCGGTCCCTATCTCCTGCAAATAGTTGTATTCCGAGGTCTTTCATTTGAATGCAATTTTTATTTTTTATTTTTTTATTTATTTATTTTTTTTATGAACCAACCCATTATGGACCAACTCACAGCGTGTGGTTTGGGATAGCCATGGACCTTCATCATGTGGCACATCAGGTGTTTCTTGAACATAAATTGTTCAGCACACGGTGAACACTGGGGAATAAAAATGACGTGTCAAGGATGAGCTTTCGCTTCACCATTCGATGTCACGCAGACGTTGGCGCTACCTTGTAGGGCATCCGCTCCACATGGGAGACGACGTGCGCACGCAGCTCCTCTTTCCCTTTGAATGACGATGAACACGTCTGACACGTGAATGTCTGGAACGAGTATCATAAAGGTCATACAATTCAACACAAAAATACATTGCACACTTTTGAATGCAAATGTCTGACTGTTGAATGTTTCATTGTGGCTGACTCTGTTTACAGGATGGTGAATGTGTTGGTGATAAAACAATTAGAAGAGATGTTGTCCTTACCTGTGTTGCAGCACAGTGCCTGAGCTCATGGATTAAAAGATTTTCTTTTCTGAAGTAGTGCTTCCCACATTTGTGGCAACCAAACGGTTTCTCGCCTGTATGACGTCTTTCAAGCACAAAAAAAATATGCATCAAACACTTAAACAATTGCTTTCAATACTTGAATGAGAGGATTTGGGGACCAGCGCCTACCTGTTGTGCACTTTGAGATAATATTTGCTCTTGAAGACTTTGTGACAGACAGGACAGCATACAGAGTTCTCGGGTTCTCCCTCTGCCGTTTTGCCATCACCGCTCTCACGCAAACTAGCGCGGTGTTGTCGAGCTCTAGGGGCAGACGCCACAGCGGAACTGGACTTGTGGGTAGGGACATACTCTTCGTCAGAATCCTGGACGGTCATTTCAAAATGATTGCTTTCATCCTCAACCGGCACTTCATCTTTCATGTGGCTCAGCAGTGCGCTCCTCTGCAAGTGGACAAAAAAAAGGCTTTGATTCTGAGGTTATGACAGTTTGGGATTTTTCAGTTGTGTTTTTTTATTTTTAGTTAAGTTTTGGAAACAGTTTTGGGAGTTGGTATTTTTTTGAAAATGCTCAGTTTTTGTTTAGTTACAAATGTTATTTTATTTTTTATTTTTTTTGCAGCATGCGGTAGTTGTCAGGATATTGGTGAGTCTGATTATAGTCTGAACACTGAATCATTACACCCAGTGAAATAGTTCTTGATTTAAAAAAAAAAATGTTTTTTTTTGCAATTCTAAAAACAATTATAACTCAGAATATAAAATGATCCAAAACATTTAACCTATGTACTCAGATAATATTTCATGATAAACGTTTGTTTGTGTCAAATCTTTCAGGGATTTAATATGGCACATGACTACAGACTATAAAAACAGAAATGACCCCAGATAGGCCTGATAGGGAGTCTGCGCTGTCATGTGAAAGACTTGAAATCATTCATCAATCATCTTTAGTTTGTTTTTTTTTTTTACCTGCATTTGCTCCTCAGTCTTCTGATCCTTGTCATCAGCACATTCTCGCTTTGAAAAAGGAGGCGGAGATTCCTCAATGGCCGGGACATCACAGGTGGCATCTTCTTCAAAGATCATTCGTCTGGGCCCTTTGACCACACGGCCCGAGCGGGTGGTGGTGGTGACGATGCCCTTCATATTGTCTCGGACCCCGTCCAAGACAGACTGCTCTTTAGTCATTGTCAGTTTGTTAGTGTCTTCACCTGAGGTGGCGAAGACCTCAGCCTTTGTCTTTCTCGGTCTGCCTCGCCCTCGCTTGACAAGAGGGACAGCGTCCACTGGTTTGTCCCTGAACCGCTGACAGATTGCGAGCGCTTCAGGGATGCACAAACTGGATGCTGCACTCTGCACCTTGTCCAGGACGCCCAGATCCAGCTTGAGTTCTCCGGTGTAGACAAAGTCCAGCAGCAGCTCAAGGCCCTCGCTGGAGCACTCTTGGAGGTAGAACTCCATACTGGGTGAGGCGGCAGCCATGTTGCTCCCCTGAAAGACTTGACTGAAGCAGGCCAGGACACTACGATGGGCAGTGTAGACCACCCCGTCAGTCACTTTCAGCAAGGCGTCACAGAAGCTCCCTGCTGCTCTCTGCTGGTTTAAGGTGGACAGGACACGCCGTGCATGGTCGGTGGCATGCATCTCCACTGGAACAAAAATACAGCGAGAGATGTGTTTTACATGACAGGAGCCACTCTTACAGGCTATCCATCCATCAATTTGCATGATCTCAGGGAGAACCTGCAAACTCCATAGAGGAAGGCCAGTGCTGTTATTCAAACTGTTTAAGATAGTGCTGCTGTATGCAGCAAAGACAATTTTCAAAAATACAATGTATGCCCAAATTTGACATGTTAATTGCATAGGATTGAACTGTATATTAATGTATTAATTCATTTGGAATGTATCAGAAAGTCTTTTTGCTTATTCAATAGATGCATTTTATGCCTTTATTATATTTATTTATTTTTTATGTTGTTGCAGAAACTATTTTGTTTGGGTCACGTACAAAGGTTGTGGCGAAAATGAGGCTTGATATATCAACATAACATCTCTGTTCAATTTTCTTACAACAACCTTTTGTGTCAATGCCATTCAAGATTTACCACAGGTTCACAATTTCATTTGAGATGACCTGTTTTGGCACAAAGTGAAGAGCTAATGCACCGGGAATGGGCCAACTGTTGTGCATAAGGACCAATTTCACGTTTTAAAATGGAAAAATGGGCCACGTTTTTCATAGATGGCATTTCAATAAAAGTTCATGTGTGTATGTAAAATATGCAAAATGCAACATGATAATACATGCTAAATGTAATTGTATGATTTGTAAATAATTGCAATTAATTGAACGCTACGTTGATAAATAAAACAAAACGATTCCACACATTAGTATTTTGTTGGACGTTGAAAAAAATCAATAAAATAATTATATATTTTTTTCTACCAGGCAAAAGAATAGAAACGTTAATCAAAATAAATCGATATTAGAGGGGGAAAGTCCAAATGAATGAAACAAATATTGCAGGACTCTTGATAATGTCAAAGTAAATGCTCTGTGAAGAACGGAGCTGGCCATACTTTGATTGACCCTGCCTGACAGTGAATTGACTTATGGATGCCGAGTGCGGTACGCTACGGTTGTGTCTACTTACAGGCAAAAAAAAAAAAAAAGATAAACATCTAAAACGAACCCAGTAAATTACGATACTGATTGTGACAAATTAATTAGCTGCACATAAACTTTAAATTGAGAGACAGTACAGTGCAAATCCTTAGCACGTCGACGTTTACGTCCTAGCATATTTTTCCAGACGCTCCCTTACCTTAGCTCGGCTGGTACGCGGCAGACTTACCACAAGAATGATGAAACTTCAACGTCGACCTGTAAAATTTTCACCAGAAATGCTTTTCAGCTGATGTTGCGTACACAGCGTATCGTGTTTTTCGAGTAAAAGCGCAAAACTAGCTTCAATACACCTTGTTTTTTCTTCTTGTAGGACACTAAAACAAAGCGGATGTGACGTATTTTTCAGCACTCCGGAATAGAATGGTCGGCAGGGTTAATGTTGCACGCCAGATTGTAACAAAACAAAGCAAAACAAAAATCACTTTTCAACAAAGTGAGCGCTTGTATCTTAATTGCGTTTCGGCATATTCCTACCACGATACGAACAAGGCAAATATCACGGGAACATCATTGTTAACCAGTTACATTCAATCGACTGTTCGTGGCTCCCTGGTACACATGTTAGCTGGCTGGCTAACTGCAACTTTGGTAACTGGCGACTCGTAATTAAACATTTGGAGTGGTTTAGTGGTCATCGGGGAGCTCTGAGCAACCTCGGAATTCGTGTGTTTTCTTTTTGACGTCGTTGCAGTTTGCCTTTGTGTCAGGCGAAGAACATTGGCCGGTGATGAAAAGTTAGTGAGGTACCCAGCCCCGCTAGCTAATTTCAATTCGCCGATGGTTCATGTTTGAAGGTAAATTGAGCTCGTCTTTCTTATGAAAACGGTAAACCGCGATTCTTTTCTCAGTTTCATTCTGTTAAGAAACAATAATATGCTTTATTATTGCATTTGTTAGTGCTTATCCACCAGCCACTCGTCCACATAACATTGGCATAATGAAGGCGAAGAGAGTCAGTCATTCAAAGGTCAGCGCCACATCTCAAAAGTGGAAGGACGTGAGGGGTAAAAGATGCAGGCCTCCCATCGGCTCCTCTGACCTAAACTCCAGTCCTGTCGTGGTTGGGATGATCAAGGAGCATCACGATTCCATGAAGAAGAAGCCGGTTGTCAAGAGACTGAAGAACAAGGCAAAGACTGTATCCGGGAAAAGTGTTTCTCAGACCAAGTCCTTCACCAATGGCGACATGGGCCTCAGTTCCGATGAGTTTCAGGACTGGAAGGAATACCCCCAATTGGTCCGAGTGAATGGGCTAAAGACAAAAGGTGCCACAGAGGACAAGAGTGCATGTCGACTGGATGGGAATTCTCTCCATCAGTGTGCAGAGAGGGATGATCAGAGGAACCACGCCGTACTTGTCATGCAGAAAGGACAGGTATGCTTTAGAAATTTGAACATCAAGTCCATTTCAAACCTTGTCTTTCTGCTTTTTTTCCAGACTCTGTGTTTCCGTGGGAAATGTTTTTTGACCTGCTTGTTTGGGCGCGTGGAAGTGATGGGCTTCACCATGGAAGAGGGACAGCAGTCATATCCGCTCTTCTCTCCCGCCTCACATTGTCCTCTGACTATCAGAGCCACGCAGGGCTGCGATGACAGCCGAGACCGCGGAAGTGTGGCTACAGACGTCCTGTGCAATTACCTTCCATCCGGTAAATTCGCTGAACAATTGGCACCATTGTGTTGTTAAACTTGTCACAGGTAAACTCAATGGGTGACTGTTCCTAATGTTGCAGCAGTCTCACTTAGAAATAAGTTGGCGTGATAGAGCCAGGCCAGGAGGAAAGAGAATAGCAAATGTCCAATATTTTTTTTATGATTTCACACTTAATAAAAACAGTGCAAGTTGTCTACTGCAAGGCAGATCTGGATTCCACAGGGTAACATAAACATCACTAGCTAATTTAATGTAGCCTACCAGTGCAAGTTATAATGTGTTGTAACTCCCCACAGGTGGCGAAAGGCACAACCGTCAGTTATTTTTCAGTCACTAGAGTGAGTAAAAAGCTCACAGCAGCAAACTGCACTCTCATTCACTGACTTCCACATTTGCGTCTTTTAAGCCACACATATTCAGAGTCACATATACAGTGCTCGAACGAAATGAGGGAGACCATATGGCAGGAGTGTCAAACTCATTTTTGTTGTAGGCCACTTTGGAGTTACGTCTTCCCTCGGAGGGCCGTTTTGACAGTGAACCCAAATAAATGTTTTATCGTCTTATCGCATTATTATTTAGCAGTTATGGCAATAATCCATTGAATAGTCACGCCCATAGGAAATATTTGGAAAAAGAAACAATCTGTTCCAGTGTCAAACCAATGCCATCATGCAGGCATTTTCTGAAGTAGCTATATATTCGTATGAACTATCCTAGCTGTTGATGTTTAAAAATAAGTTAAACACTCTTGTTGGGTTCAACTGAGTGTCTCTGGATTTGTGCATTATATTTTTCTTTCACCTGCCTTTGCAGCGTCACAGAAGAAGCTGCTTAAAAAGGTTGGTTCCAAATCCTCCATCATCCTCCTGGAGCCCATGGAGACCCCGTTGACACACTTCCTATCAAGCTTCGCCAATCTCAGTAACCTGTTTGATCCCACTATGGTAAGATGGCTTCCTGGGTCAGCATTTCCTGTTGGAATTGAAGTCGTAAGCAGGGTGTAGGGAGAACAGGCTCAAAACAAGGGCATATGAGTGTAGACTGGGAGGCAATTCCAAATTGTGGCAGGTTCGAGAACACAGCTGAATTCTTTGTGAAGTTGATATGCTTGCACACCATCAGAGATCTACATTTGGATTTCAGTCATTAAAATGAACGCATTTGTCATTGAAGAAAAGTTTTGTGTGAACTTTAAGTATCAAGACCCCATTTCAACCTTTGTCCTTGACACCAGGAAGCCACAAAAGTAAGACTGTTATTGCTTTAGGATTTATTTCACAAACCACACTGAGTAAATATAAAATCAGTGAATAAACAGATTCACAAATGGCAAACTGCGAAAATGCAGCTCACTCTATCACCAAAATAAATGTGGTTTTATCAGATTTAGTTTTGTGTGTGTGTGTGTGTGTGTGTGTGTGTGTGTGTGTGTGTGTGTGTGTGTGCGTGTGTGCGCGTTCTCGCGCGCGTGTGTGTAATCTTCCCCGTGACACGTGTTTACAGGGAGAACTCATGTCTGCCGTCCTGGACACGCCTCTGAACGGTCTAGGGATGATTCCTCTGATCGACAGCGTTGAGGGCCTGAAGGTGTCGCCGACCTGCCGGGAATCCCTGAATGCAGTGGTCACTGCCTGCAGAGGTAAAACCGCTCATTATAGCGTTCATTCATTTTATTAGGGGCAGAGGAACTCCGTGTGGGGACACCTATTATTGACATTAGAAGTGCAAAATGGCTCGCTGACGCATTTTCAAAAATACAGATTACAAAAGATTATCTTGGTTGTTTAATTTCACAAGTGATGGGCAAGCAGACACTTAACCGACTCAACTATTTATATCCAGTACGAGTCAATTTTTCTCAGCCAATGTCCCCTAGAGATCAAATATGGACCTGAACGGCTTTAATGACTACATCGCAACTCATACTAACAACTAGTAAGTACTCAATAAATAGTGAGTAACTAATATCAAAATTACTTAAATTAAAGCAACATGATTAAAAAAAAAATTGTATTGATAATAACTGATGACAAAGCATTTGAATTTAATTATGTCGTGTCTACAACTTACTGGCATTATTGTTTAGCTGTAACGGAGGTTTACGCTCCCTTTTAAGGACACAATACTGTCTGTCTCTGTCTCTTACAGGGGACATGGACGGTTGTGCTGTTGTCCTCGTTTATGGATCTAAAAACGTTGGCAAGTCCACATACATCCGCATGGTGATCAATACTCTCCTAAATCAGTAAGTGGTATTGTCATCTTCTTGTGATGCTTGAATGATATGGGACACTCAATTGAATATATGTGTGTGTGTGTGTGTGTGCGTGTGTGTGTGTGTGTGTGTGTGCGTGTGTGTGTGTGTGTGTGCGTGCGTGTTGTGTGTGTGTGTGTGTGTGAAGCACTACAAGTGTGGACTATTTGGAAGCAGACCTCGGTCAAACTGAGTTCACCCCGGCTGGTTGCTTGTCTTTGTTGACTGTCAGAGAACCTCTGCTGGGTATGTTTTATCTCTTCTTCCTTCAAATCATGTTAGAGTGGAACCTCTGTCCTCAAAACACTTTAAAACGTGGAACATTTGGACTTCGGCCATGACCATTTAGCCATATGTACTGTTTACAGTATTTTGCCTGTAGTTAGCCTTCTGTTACAAAGCTCAATTTCTTAAAAGCTGGAGCCTATCTCGGGTGACTTTGGCCAACAGGCATACCACACCCTGGAGTGGTCACCAACCAATCACAATGTTGTTTTCAAAACAGATTGTGTTTGACTTTGGATTCTCAGGCCCCCCTTTCACGCATCAGCGCGACCCCGACCACATGGTCTACTACGGCGAGTCGTCGTGCGAGTCTGACTTAAGTCGCTACCTGGAAAGCCTCAAGTCCTTGTGGCGCAGACGCTCCCCAAGCAGAGAGACGCCTATTGTCATCAATACCATGGGCTGGGTTAAAGGTCAGCGGAAACATTTTTACATACTTTTCCAGAATTATTTACCGGTAGTTGATTTAATGTTAACAATAGTTTTTCTTGGCGGAGGTGATGTGTAGGTTTTGGACTGCAGCTGCTAGTGGATATGCTCCGCTTCTTCCCGGTCTCTCACGTCATCCAAGTGACTCACGGCGGCAGCACGGCTCAATGCCCTGCCCTCACCCCCGACTTTCTAAGGACGGCCCACGGCTTCCAGACACACCCGCCCGCTCAGACGGCGCTGGACGAGTTCACAGAGAGTACACAAAGCCCGCCCCTCACCTACGTTCACATGACCGTTCAGTCCGACTTCGAAGGCGTGGGCTGCCAAGGGACGGCGTAAGCGTTGCTCTTTCTGCGTTGTATGTTCCACTGTTTTTGCGGCGTGACATCGGCGGCTCACGTGTGCATGTGCTGTGTTGCACAGGAAACACCAACGCACCAATGAGCTGCGAGAACTTTCACTGCTTGCCTACCTCGGTCAGCTGCAGTCGGCTGATCCTGGACCCATTCGATCTCTTCACTCTCTCACACCATACCAGGTACACTATTTATGTATTTATTTTTTAATATACAAGCTGCTCTATTTTGAATGACATCTTGATGAACTTAAATTGAAACTTCACTTTGTCTTTAAACACAGCAAATTCTTCATTAGAACCTCTTCATTTTGTTTTAAATGAAATGATAGCAATGAATTTATATGTTGTAAAAGCATAAAGTGGGACATAATGTGATTCCCTGCGAATAAGTGAGTCTTTTTTTCAGGCAAAAAAATTAATCTGTATTAGCATTAATAATATCAGATTTGTTATAAATAAATGTTTTGATCCTGCAGGTTAGGCTTCCCCTAAAATGAAAGCAAATTAACCATGAGGTGTGAAAGTTGATCCGCTTAGAGTTGTTACCTTAATAAACACTTTTACTTGCAGGCTTTTTAAGTCTTGACTACAGCAATTTAACAAAACTTTACCACACAAGTGTGGTGGAAACATGAGTCAGAAAATTATAAATCAGGTCACAACAATAATGCAAACAAATCTGTGGCTTCACCTCAACTTTTCATCTTTCATGAAACAATGATATGTAAACATCCGGACAGCATTTCTTAAGCACTGTACAGTCAATACAGAATAAAGTAATAGGTGTCATTTTGCCCCCACAGGTCCCCCACACCGAAGTGGCTTTGGGTGTGCTCCATTTCGAAGTGGCGCCCAGTGACATGTTCTATGCCGTCAACTCCGGCCTGGTAGGACTCTGTTGCCTGGCGGAGAAGGTGACCAGCAAAGGAGGTCCGGTCCTGCTGTCTCGAGCCCCCATCTGCCCTTGCGTGGGCCTGGGTATGAAATAATTATTACCATTGTTGTGTTGAATGTAAAATTATTACATCTGGACTCCATGATAATATTATAATTGTTGTACTTTTTTTTGTCATTGTTGTCCTTTTGGGTGTGCAGAACAAAGGTCTGTGCCCTCCCGATTGTTCTTGTCTTCAAAGCCATTCGCTTTGCATTTTGTAGGTGTGCTGCGAGGGATCGACATGACGCGAGGCCTCTACTTTGTCCTGACGTCAGTCGATCCCGCCATCCTGCGCAAGGTCAACTGTCTCCTTCTCGGAGCCACATCGCTGCCCTCCTGCATCCTGACCGCGCAGGTCAGACACTCGCTTGCTCGTGGGACTTGGATTACTCACAAAGAGTTTGCAAGATTGGGTATTTGGGTGACATTTCTTCACCACTCCTCGCTAAGAATGGCAACTTTGTGCAGCAGGACGGTTTCCAGGGAGAGCTGCCTTACGTGACGTCGGACTACAGCTTTGACCTGACCGGTGCTGGAAAGCTGCGATTCTTCAAGGGCCTGCAGAGGTCATGTCAGACGCGCTGATGGTCCAGCGTTTGTGTATGTGTGAGTTTTCTTTTTCCCCAACATCAACTCTGAAATTGACTCTTCAAGAGAGAATTCTCTCAGAACATTTTTTTTTTGTACCGCTGCCATTCCGAAACTGCAACTGAATTCCGGTGTCATATTAAAAGCAGGAAAAATGTGTTCAGATTTCTAGTTTTTACTTGTACTACTCCGACAAGTACTGAGGCAGTATTTGTCATTGCGAGTAGTTATCGTAGTGTGTACATTATTTGTTTCACTCGTTCGTAGATTTCTAAGCATCTTTAAATTGGGAGCCACTGCAAAAAAAAAAAAAAAGAACATTAACTTAAACCCAAAATCAGGGGAATAGAACAATAAATATTTTTGTGTGAGAGCCCTCAAATATGTAATTTTAGTATTTCGTATTATAACCAGTAATAAAAAAATCATCTGGAAAAAATGCAAAAAAAACAACCAAATAGAAATGCACAAATATTCCTTGGTAAGAAAAACAGTGGATATGAAAAAATAAATCAAGATGTAACCTGTCACATTAAAATGCATATAAAATGGGGGTCAGTGCACACCTGCCACTCATAGTCCCACTGATGAGCCCCATATAAAGTTTAGATGTTTATGTCTAGCATACATTCTTATGACAAATGAAACCAGACCACTGTAGTTTTCTGTCTTTTATTATTGGAATAAAAACATTTACAATATTATCGCCAAATAACTGTACAATTCAAACGAATCAGAAACATAAAAAAGCAACATTGAGTCCCGGGTGACACGTTTGTTCCTTCACTGATTGTTTAAAGGCGGAATCATGGCGTCCCTGATGTCAAAGGTGTCGATGAGCTCCTTGAGAGATGAGAGAGAGGAAAAAAAAAAAACATTACGGTTCATACCTGACTCACCCTGTCTGGTGTACGCAAATAAACGGTTAAAATATTTAGGTAATTTTCATTATAATTCATTTTCATTTCATTTTGAGTTTTGTTTTTTTAAATTTAGTTTTCAGAGCGTGTTTGTTATTTACTAGTTTTATTTTTTATATTACCGGTACTTAGATTTGTGGCTTGAATTCATGTTGAGAAGTAGTGAATATATTTTTCATATTTGAAGGTATGCTTTCCCACTTTAACCAGAGACATCTGAAGAGGAATTGAACTGAAAAGACATGTTCACCTTCCAGATCTTTGGGCTGATTGAAACAATAGATGCATTACGGTTGTCTGATCCTACGGCATCTACCGGTATTTCCATCCCCACCTCCTCCACCGGAGCTGAAAGAAGCAACAAAAAACATCTCAGTAGTGTAATGGAAGGTCTCATTCGTGTTTTAGTAAATGACAAATCAGTTCAACGTCCTTTACCTATATTAGGCAACTTGTCTTGATCCAAACATATTTGTGCCAAACCATCCTGAAAAGAGAAGCATGGAGTAACTAGAGAGCAAGATCAACATCCATTTGGATTCTTGGCTGCAAAAAAAACTTACCCTGATGAGGAACGACGTGTGGAACATATTCTCGATTGTGCGTGAAAAGGAGTCTGGGTCAATGACAAATTCGTAATACGGTATCGGCGACGACGCTGTAATGGAAGAGGAGTTGCAAAAATTGCAATTTTGGCAAAGCAGTAAAGGCGGTCAACTGTAAACTCACGGTCATCTTGATGATAACGCTTTAGGCAGGCGAGGATCCTCTCGACCTCTTTCTCCGTGGCTTCTTGTTCAGCTTCTTCCATCTTTTTCAGCTGATACACGCACAACGAGATGTGAACAGAATAATTAGATGCTGGTCCACTGGTAGAACGTATTTAATTTTGAACTATATTCCTTGATGCTTTTGTGATAGTTGGTGTGTGGTGAAATATTTCCAATGTGAAGTATGTGCCTTAGGAAAACTCTGTGGATGGGGATAGTGGCCTGAATGTGTTTTAGCAACCTGAGTGGGCATGATCCTTTTTGCTTCCTTGCCGGGGGGTCTCTTTTGTCGTTCTATCCGTTGCTTTGGAGGGGGTGGCTCAGCGTGGAAGGAACCCAACCTGATGAGAGACTGAAGTCAGTGATGTGGAGTGCACCGGATCCATTCAAACCGTGATTTGCAAACATTTGAGACCAAGAACCACTTGAAAAAGATACCTTGGCGTCGAAATTCAATGTGTTTATCAAAGATTGGGGCAGAGGTTTTATTCCTAAAAATAGATTTAAGTTTATTGTAAGCAACTGTAACATTATGCAGTTTGAAGATTAACACTGTGCTTTAATATAGGAACACAAAGTTAGTTGACAATCATACAAGATTGGTGTCGACTCAATACAAGAACTGGATATGGAACTCCATACCTTGGGCATGACTGCCATCTAGAGGTATTCACACAATACTTTCCAATGCTGTAGTTGCATTTTTTTTATATATGCATGGGGGTTTTATTTTTATAAATTAAAATCTAATATAACGTGTTTAAAGAGTGTGTATTTTGCATTGACAGCCCCGGTGTCTCATATGTTAACCTCCAGCGTATTGAATTCTTCCATTCCATTTCCAGTCCTTCCATCCTAAACGGGCGTTTACTCTACCGTCATGAATGAATCCTGTGAGCTGATTAATGACGGCACACGCACATGTAGCGGAAGGTCGGCGCTGTCCTAAAACAGTCCTCAGCTCTCCGGGCCAGTCTATGCCAGGCGTCGCTGGGCAAGTAGCCATCGATTTGATCTCCGCTCTGCTCTTCCCCGTCACTTTCCAGCCGGTTGAGACCCATGAAGGTAAGCTGTCCAAGGGATAAAAAAAAAAAACAACTTCAGAACTCCACGGTACGAATCATTGCATGACTGGTCATCCTTCAGTTGAGTCGTCTTTTCCATGGAGATCAATCATATTTGAAATGATTTATCATGTTGCCTGTGACATACGGAGCAGAATTTGGGCCTAGAAGCAGACGGGAAACGTAAGAGGCAAAGTCAGTCTTTAGAAAGCTGCAAACCAAAATCACCCAAAAGGTGGTGAAAGGAACACACGAAGCAACAACAAAGAACAGAGGTGGACCCCGGCAGTGAGAGAGCGCCCAACGAAGAGGCGTGGGACGATATTCGACGTTCTGGCGAATACTGTCTTAGGAACTAGGACTCCCATCATAAAACCTTTAGTAAATGTCCAGACTATCCTATATTTTAAGTAACGGTTTAAAATTGTCATTGTCGTACAAGCTGGAACAAAAGCAGCAGTTTACAATAGTAGCTCGCCAGGCCAGGAGAATTTGCATATAAAATGCATTTACTTACAAGGTGCTCAGCAAAAGCCGTCAAGTCAAGAGCACTGTCCTCATCTCGCATCTGGCTGGCTTTCTCGTCATTCAGGTCTGTGGCCACGACGACGAACTTGGAATCCAACACCGCTTCGCTCGTTTCTCGCACTGTCAAACAACAACTTTGCTGTCAGAGGTTTCTTTGCGGCACCAATTTCGACTGGAAACTACATTTAAACATTAAAAATTGGGAGGACAGACTTTTTAACGGCTAATACAGTTAAGGGACCAAGGCCTGACACCAACAGAGAAAATCTGCAATTGACACAAATAGCCCAAGTACACAAGTACTTGATGGTCCTCACCACTCCCCCCCCCCCCAAAAAAAATGGAATCTAGTCTAAACCCCAAATATTCCCAAACAGAAAGTGTGAGGAAATTGGCAATTATGCCAGGTGCTTTGCAATCGCTAAAAGTATAATGTTTTGTGATCCAGTAGTAGTCAGCAAATGAGTTCCCCAAATTACAAGCTGCTGCTAAGTTATATGTGTCAACACTTTCAGTGGAGAAGAGACAAGGGAGAGTAAGATCCTTTTTTTTCCCCTATCTACTCTGTTTACTTGTTTCTCTCCTGGTACTGAGATAACAAAAAAATCTTTCAGATTTGTCCGAATCACTGACTGTATGTATGTCTTAATGGCACACTAATGAAAAAATGCGCTACAGTGTTGCCCACTATTTCAAGTTACACTTTCCACACGCTCACACAATTGCAACTTTTTTGTGGAATATACTTGATTACATGTACTTCATTACACATATGAACCAACAAGAGGCCGTAATATAATCCCACACCCACATCCCCCAAGGCTGCACTGACCCCGCTATCCTGTCAAAGCCGAAAGGTAAGCAGAGCTGCAATGAGTTTTGCTGAATGCACATATTAGTGTTAGCCACCAGCATTTCCTACTGATAAGCAGCACATACTCGATTGCTCGGTGAGTTGGCGACACAGTGCCAGTGGAGGAAGATATTTGTGTGTGGTGACGTGTTCATGCGCCACAAACACACAGCACAGAGTGTGAAGTGCTGCCTCTGGTATGAAAATACATTTATTGTCTTTACGGCTAACTTTTTCTCCCTCCACTTTGTGCTCTGCTCAAGTTGAAGCCCCTCGAGTCAAACATTCAGCATCTTCATCCAGTCACCATGGTAACAAAAGCCATCCACTTTTGAATTGTGAAAAAAAAATGCAATGCATTACTACTTAATATGAATACTACTAGAGTTCTTTTCTGACGATCGGAAAGGCAAAGACAAAAATAACACATACCATTCACAAAAAGCTTGTCCGCCTCTTCCAAAACCTCTGTAAGTTTGTTGTTTGAAGGACTCAGTAAATCTTCCCTATTTCCTGCGATAAAAAGGAGCAAGCGTTTAATACAAAAACAAACAAACAAAGCAGCCTCTTCTAAAGTCACTAACTCACGATGAACTGAATCGATGAGGTCTCTGTACTTGCTCCTTATTTCCTTCCTCACCCCCCTTTCGTTGTCATCCTGTCCATTCGTGGAATCAAAGTCGGACCCTTCGTTACATCGCTGTTGTTCTCGGCTGTTGTGACGCGTGGTGCCGTCTTGCCGGGAAGCTTGTTCCTTGGCGGACGGGCGTCTGAGACGCTCCATCAATCAGTCTGTAAGTGTGCAGAAATTAGATGCTAAAACCCAGAAACGGCGAAGTCGGTTTATATAGCTGAAGTTTAAAATCAAGTCATGCAACCCTTATTATTCAAAAGGTTAAGCTATTGCATTTCTGTCAATGTAAAAAATGTATGTAAACACGAAACAGCAGGTAAAACTGCAACACCTTCTCCCATGCTGGTTCTCGTAAAAGGCTAATGTTAGCCACTTAGCAACCCATTAAACCGCTTAATGTGTACAAGGTCATACTTGATGTCACGCTGTGGCTCCGACCCGTGTTATTTGTTGGAGCGGTGGTCCTTGCGTAAAAGTTGAGCCGCAAAGTGATGCTGGAGCAGCTCGAGTGCGCGCCAAGACGTTCGTCACTTCAGATTCCAACGGACGTACTGCTCTGCAGTACGCAGTTGCGTTTGGGGCGGACATGACGTACATAACGGATGCTGCCCGGTTCACCAACGTGCCGACGTGGCGGCCATGTTGTAAGGGGCGATATTCCCACCAAAGGCAATGCAGTGGCATTGAAATTTAGTCGTAGAGTGTAATTATCTCGATCAGAGGGCTCTCTCATAACAGTCATAGGAACCCCATCACATCAACGTAAATTGTAATGCAATGGTAATTAATGTATCCGCTAATTATATTACACAGGACCCGCCGCCCTACAGGAGACTGCCATGTTTTACTTCCAACTTTCTGCTACGGATACTCGAACGAGACAAACTTAGTGGCTGTAGTTCCTTTTAGGATGATTGACCTCCCATCTCTGATAATAGACTCAATTATTTGGGTGATTTAAACCTTGTTATTAACCTCTTGTTGTTATTAGGGAACTGTTTTATTTAAAAATGTAGCTACTTCAAGACAAAGCCCTCTCTGAATCATTGTATGAGTATGTTTCTTTTGTGATATAGGTCTATGAAATGTGAAGAATTAAAAAAAACATTAAACTTATTTCACTGGCGAAAAGATTTCATTTACTTTAGTATTAGAACTCACTTGGTATGTGTTGTTTACTTATTTTTCTTTTGTGATTTGTTTTGTTGTTGTCTCTTTATACACATATATACAGTGTATTTGGATTGTTTGAGATGTTAAAAGCCCGTGTTGTTTGTAGTTGTCATTTGTTCTTTCAATTAAAATGAAAAAAAAAGGAGAAAACATGACTTTGGATTAGTTTTGTCACTCACAGCATTTTATTCTTTTGTATAAAGATCATAGACTGAGGATGATTAAATGCAGTCCACTGATCATATGAACACACTAATTTCGGACCAAGCAATTGTCCACTTTGAAGCTCTTCCATACCTTTGCAATTAGGAGACGTCAATCTTGTTTCATAATGCTAGAGCCGAGGTGTTCTATGAAGACTCTTCTTCACCTGCACCTCATTTGGATCTGAAATCTTGATGATGCAACCAAGAGCATGCATATTAACAAGACCCCACATTCCTTTGCAAATCTAATGTAATCTTTTAACTATCTATTGTATGAGCACAGTGTGCTGTGCCCTTGAGACACTGAGGGGTTTTCATGAATCCTACAAAAAACGAGAGGAGGAAGCTTTTAAGAATGGGCCAAGAAGAGAGTGGGAGGATTATCCTTGAGGTTGCTAGGTGACGGAGCATTAAGAAGGAAGTCTCAATACTGAAAGACACAAACACAATCTGCATCTTAGGTGACTCATTGAAAGATAGCTCAGTGAAGACAAGAAGGCAGCTGTGTGTTCCAGTATTGTAGATATTACAGCTCTCATATTGCTGAAGCACCAGGAGGAGGATGACCACCTTCGTCACAGGCAGCAGAAGAGAGCAGGACCACTCAAGTGGCGGGGGGGTTCTGTAAAAGGAGTACTGGAGGAGTTTGAAGGAGCAAGTGGAAGTGCAGCACCGAGGAAAGATAGCAGCTACACAGAATGACTCACAGTCAATGTGAACAGTTGCTGAAATTGTATGCAATATACAGTATACAGCACCAACCATGTTGTGAGGATAATTGAATAACAGCAAATTTTAATGATGTTGTCCCTAGAATTATTTTTGACATTGTTTACAATTTGTTTGAATCTTATTCTTGCACATCAAGTTATGGACATATTTTCATTTGATCTTTTTAAATTTGTTAGTATTACATCCAACAACAAACAACTTCAACAAAAAGTTACAAAATATTTCTTTATTAAAAATATATAACAAACAAAATGATGGTGCTTTTGGGGGGACATGAATTGATTTGATATACTGGAGACCCCCACTATTTACTATAGGGCTCGGATGTGCTTCAGCAAAGATTTGGCCTTTTGGCACTCATCCCCATCAAGTTGCCTCTCTCAGTTTTATTGCCCATTGGCATTTGCGCTGGAGCAACACCAATGTTTCTTTGGATGATTTCTAAATGCCAGGCAATGTATCCCCATGTGCCTTACAGCGTCATGAAAGTGTTCCTGAAAAGGAATGCCGTAAATGGTTGCCATAACCACATTTCAAATACATTTTTAATGTCGCTGAGCCATACCATACAAAAGTCCAACCGCCTTGTAGAATTTCATTTTCGTCCTCCAACAAATGTTTCAAATTAAAATTAAAAATGTATTTAAATATACTCATTTTGAGACTGGACAGTGATAATATTATAACTACTAGTTTAATAAATACTTGTTTGAAGCTCAGCTCTTAATTCTATTTTTTTATACTATTTATTTTATTTGTATTTATTCTCTCTCTTTTCTTCTATAAATCAGGAAATCTAGCATCATTTGGATTGTTAGCAGTTTCGAGAAAATTTTAAAATTTACGAAGAACTCTAATAATTTCAGATATATAGGATGCATTACTAATAAGTATGAGGCTCATAATAAAAAGAGAAATGACTGACATAACAGAGTTAAAACATGACAAAAGTCAACATAAAAAAAACTATAAAGTTGAAACTGTTCCACTACAGACCTAGAGGTGGCACATAACAAAGTGAATTCCAATTGCCACACAGGATTGCTTTGATTGATTGGTTGATTGATTGGTTGATTGATTACTTCAGCCACCCGAGCACTTACTCAACAGTGTTTTTTTTGGGGGGGGGTAATCCTGTTTATCATCTCGCTTTTTTTGTGTGGGTTTTTTTTTTTTTTTTTTGCAATTATCTTTTCACAGTCGTGATGTTGACAAGCAGCAAGAAATAGGTTACCAGTTACCCAGAGTTCAAAAATGTCAAAGCTTCGCAGAGGGGGTGGTGCAGAATGGGCCACAAAAGACGACATTATATTTTCGTGAAGATCCGGATAAAAGTGTATTCAGTGTTTTGCATCAAGATTGCAGTGATGCAAGAGGCCTGAATCTGAACAACTTTTAGTTGAGATACTGTGTAACACTCGGAATGTTTAAATATTTAAAATGTTCAAACATGAATATTTTTATCGTGATTTATGTATGTATGTATGTATGTATGTATGTATGTATGTATGTATGTATGTATGTATGTATGTATGTATCTCTAAACCCTGAATTAGCCCTCTTCTGCAAAGGATAGTTTATATTAAATTGCGCGTTAGCGCCCCTAGAGGCAACTACTTTCCACTGCAGAGCAAAGAACTCCAGTGGATGAATGGAAGGCGGTCGGCATGTGTTTGGAGGGGGAGACACAAAGCTAAAAAAAAAAAGGAGCAGCACTTTGTTTAAAAGTTATCGGAGTCAGTACGCTTACTTTAAAATACCACCGAGGACATTTATTTCTATTTCATAGCGGGTAAGCAGATTTGCACGAACGGCGTTTTCACGTTGGAGCATTTAATTTTTAAATGTTAAACGACAGCAGGTTAGGATGTGCGTGTTGTAGTTCACGTGAAGACTTGGGGTAGCCTAAAAAAAGCTTTTGTCACTGTTTGCCTTCCACGCGTTTGGCGTGATGTGAGATCCGAATCGAGCCGAGTTTAAATTACAGTGTGTAGGACAATGTGGGAGCGCTTTTAACCGGACTGCAAAGCAAACTTCACTGGGTAATTAGCGATTAGCATCGGAGCACACTGCCGGCGGCACGCGAACCTGCTGGGAAGCAGTGTGGGATCCACCAAATCACCACAGGACCACCAAAAACGAAGGACCGCATGCCTCCATGGTTCCGAACAAGTGGACCATGAATTCAGTCCTGCACAAGTCGCCTCCGCGGAGCTGGCTCGGTCTCAAGTTGAGGCTCAGTAAGTGACCTTTTTTGTTTTGAATTTGTACGTAAAGCGAAACGCGTTTTCGTCACAGTGTTTTATTTTACAATACATCCTGATTTTCATATGCATCCTTTATTTGTCCAGGTCAGGCTTTTGAGAATAGATTCTGAAATGCCGACCTTGGTGCAGAGCAGACAGCAGGATCAAACACAGCAAAATAAAAGCAAATACAAATAAATAAATATACAGCAACTGTACACTGTGAGGTACAAAATAACAGAACGTACAAACAGAACATAAAATATTAACAATAATTATAAACATACACTCAAATAACCAGTCAATATAACGCAGACAGTAAATATATGTGTGAAATCAACTACTGAGCATAAGTAAATTATGAAATGGAAAAACAGTGAGCGTGCCACATGACAACATATTCTTTCACCACAGCAACTAATACTAAAACAGAAAAGCATTTTTTTTGATGGAATATGTTCCATTAAAACTCATGTAAATGCAATTATTCCGTAACAGACTAACCAAAATATTTTATAGAGAATAACTGTTGGAAGATGGAGAAAACAATTTGAATAAACAAATCCCAAACAAAATGGATGAATGAACATTAAAGGGATATTCCAGTCAAAAATGTTCTTCCTAATATGCCCTAAGCACTTCCACTAGTCTAAACGCGGTACTCAGAATAATATTGCATTTGTGGAATATGAATTAAGCAGCAACAGCCACCTGTTTTTGTCCATCTCAAGGGGTGGCCATTTTGCCACTTGCTGTCCACTGAAAATGACATCGCAGTGCCCAAAGGCTCAGTTTACGAACACCACATGATCAAACCCAGAAAACGGGTCAGCCGTGCTTGGTCGTTACCTAGGCTATTAGCAAGTGGCAGTAGTAAACAACCCATTCAGTGTATGGTCAAAGTGACAAAATTCTTTTTTTTTTTCTTTTTTTGCTCTCAAGTGGCACAATTGGAATATGTGTCATGGCAGTGTTAGAAGGAAATTAAAGGCATCAGAATCAGGCCTCTTCCAAATCTGAATAAAATCTGTCACATATTGGATATCTACCGATGCAAGTACAGCGAAAATGCACAGTTCGGGCATGCCCCGTCAGTCCAGGCTTGTCGTCATCAACATTCACAGATTGGTCACGCATACTAACATAATTAACATATTTCAAGGCACCCTCTGTAAATAGAAACTACAAGGAAAGCCTAGACCGATAAGATAATTATGGTACGTTAGAGGTGTGTCGAGGAGTCAAAAGGGAAAATAACTGCCAACTGTAGTCATCGAAGTAATGTGGAGGGCCCATTCATTTAAATTAATGAAGAGTCGTTAAAAGCGAAGGAAGAGTCATCCC